TATCATATAGAAACAGCTACGTATTCAATTCTGGAATTACTTATGAAGCGAAATTTTGCTCAGCTTGATGTTATCCTGGATTAGTCAAATGAACTATACTAACTTTTACATCTCGGGACTTTAGCACTTAACTTTGACCGTCATTCAGATGGAAAAGGAAAACAATGAAAAAATGGGAATGAGAAAATCAAACAAAACTTTATTGGCTTTTCATCTGAAATTGTAGTTAATTTATGGAAGAACATCGTTTTTGCTTTTGCTGAAAATTGAATAGTAGAGCAAACGAAAGGACATTGTTTGTGATTGCACTAAGGCGCCGATGAAGCTGATTTATTGGGAGCTCTCTTTCTTCTACAAGCAGACTTCATTGGAGTTGCAGTCTGCGTTTTTAGCGTTAAAAGTGCAGCTTTCTCTTCGGGCATAGCTTCCTGGAATGATATCAATCCAAAACGTTTTTGTTTGTTTCCCAAAATTAAGCACCCACTTCTTGATTAGTGTTCACTAGTCTTTTCTTTGATTTTTTTAGTTGTTGCAGATCAGCTTGCGAAAATCTATCAGCGCCTGATTTCTCCGTGTGCACCTCGACCTTGCTGTTCACATCCTTTTCATCATGAATTTCACCAATCACCTGACAAAAGGATTGAGATAATGGTATATTCTTGATGAAACTTTTACCTCTTCTAGGTTGTCTTCTAATGTTACAATACCAGTAACATTGTAACACTTTTTATCGGGTTCAAAGTCTATCACAATGGCAAGAGGAAAACCTCTCTTGAGTTCAACCATCAACTGAACCACGGGAGTTTCTGAGGTCACAAAACGGAACTGAAATTATAGCACGAAAAAATTTATTAATCCATGGAATTCTACCTGTTACACCTTGCATAACTATTTGAAAATCACAGTAGACGACAAATATTTGCCGTAGATTAGCAGCGACTATAAGAGTTTCTAGCTCACCAGTGTGCTTCTGTTGAACAGCTGTATAACAGCGCCTACATGGATATCCAGAGAATCATCGATCAGAAGAAGATCTTTAACGTTCAAGACTCCAATCACCTTGAAAGCAAAGATCACCAGACTAACATATGCATAGACATATATGAAACTTACGCAATTTTTGTCATCTCCTTTGTAGATAGGGATTCTTGTGTGGCGATACTCACTTAATTGCTGTTTGAGTTTTGTATTAATTTCTGTTGATTCAGATATCATATGTACCTAAAGTGTAATTCATTCTGTCAACTTTTTTGAGTGTACGCGTTATTGCCACTCCTGTAGCTTTGAGTACCTTTTCTAAGGGAGTCATTACATCCCTGACACGTCTCACTTCTAACATCATGGCATTTTCTACCGCATCTGCCATATTGGGAGTTGCATA